AAACGGTTCAATATTAATAATGTCAGAACATCAGGTACAAGAATAAACACTTCAACGTAGAATCAGATAACAATAGCAAGAAATGTCACGAATTTCCCTCACCACGCAGATTTACTCATTTGCATAATGCACATGGGTAGACCAACCTCTAAGACGATATTGTCGTATCACGGCTATTTGTCAACAGGACTGTCAATAATGGCTCAGATACTGCTGCTGGCACTAAGAGTTCACAATCTGTACGATAGAGTCATACACACACCCTTTAGACAATGCTAACATGATCCCGAAAGCTTCACGGCACCAACGCGGCAGCCATCTTGAACACGGTAAACACACTATTGACTTATGAGGGCGCTTTTGCACACAAACTGTGAAGGCGCACTAACACAAAATACATATATCCTACAAATGCGTAATATTTGTATCTATTACGTGATGCATTGTTATGTTCATGATATGTAGACGTGTAAGTTTTGTGCCTTAGATGAGCTTTATGATGAAAACACCTTGTAAACTATATAATAAACTACATATAGTAACTCGTATAACAGAATGTGCCCATGAGTATGTCTACATTTAATATGCAAAATTATAAACGACTATGTAGCCTGGGCAATATAATAAGTAACGGTCGTGTTAATAATGCGAATACCATAGCTGTTACATTTAATACAGTACACATATTATTTAACATGACAAGGATTCAAACAAAAACAATTTCCAGCAATACAAATTTATGTAGTTCGATACAGTCCCTGGTAATTCTAGTAAAGGCTCCCACGAGTCATGCAACACGCCAAATTAGAGGAATTGCATTTTATATCTCAGATTTTTTGTGTAGGCACTGTGTGACTGCTCAATATGAACATAACATTTTTTTCAAAAACGTTCAGTTTATATACTTCGACTTAAAAGTCTCTAAATTGATTGTCTAAATATGTAGACCACCCGATACGATATGTTTCGTTATGTTGATTGATTCAACTTATCACTTTATACGCAGTTTTAATTTGCCAATGCACACTACAATTGGCACTCACAAAAATATTGATATCCAATCTAGTGTTAACATTAGATGTATGTGTTATTCAGTCACAAATTAATGCATTACCATTAAAACAAATCTTGTTTTGTATTACAAATGCTAGACACGCGATTCAATAATCAAACAACAAATTAAGACACATTACAACTTGTATTTGTGATACATGTATTACATATAAATCAAATCATTTATTGAGGAGAACCCATTTTTGCATATTTTTCTAATGTATTCTCCATTGAACTTTATTTTCACTCCTGCAAAAATGTAACCCTTACTTTCAGAATATTAAGTATATATATTGTCTTATTAGTAATTATCGTGTGTTTGTATACTTACTTGTCGACAAACACTGAACGCATTTTATTGAAAACAACATTTCTGCACAGAGGGCGCCATTATTTATTATCTAATCCGCCGGACGATAATAGATATATATTGTATACTCAAACATGTTTACACTTAAGCAATGAGAAGTTTTTAATTACCAACACATTTGCGAAATCAGACATATTAATTGTAATTAAAACATAACTAATTTGAAAGAAAACCACCGTACGTTATTAGAAACGTACATTGATGTACTGTCTTCAAAATAACTTTATTTTGCATGTGTTGGTTTAGTGTTTTCACTCGCCTCTCGTTCACTGCTTCCTGACTCGGATTTTCACCATTTACAAGATTATAACATACAACCGAGGACAGAATAACATAATCATCTACAGGTTTGTGACATGCAACTGTCGGAATAGTTACCAAAACTACTGACAATTAAATTCAGAATGACGTTCAATAGTTGGAACACGCAATCACCATTCATGCACGCCTAGGATGCTGGTGACCATTTCTTGTGCGTGTGTACTACATTGATTGCTATGCAGTGGCGGCGGGACTGGGGTTGGGTGGGACCACTTGCGCCTACGGGGGCAAGGGGTGGTGAACAGATCTCGCCCACCATGCAACATTTCGTGCCGCCTCCTCTGCTATGTTACTGTGCGTTGTTCTGTCTGTTAGTTGTAAGACTTCTTTTTTCATGTGAAATGTCAATAGAGTATGAAAGTTGTCATGGTGATTGTTGGAATACCACAATATCACAGTTCTGGTTTTATTAAAGAAATCAACGTGTGTCAACATACGAATAAGATTATAAATGTTTGTTTTGTTTCAAATATCAACAAAACACAGTCTACAATGTAACTATGTGTATAAATTTACTCGTTTTCAAAGAACGTGATATAAAGAATTTGAGGATGAATTTAACTGTTTTATTATTTATTTTTTTGTTTTCTAAAACAAATAGATACGTCATTTGTTTACCTAACACTTCAGTTGTTAAGCTCTCACGCTCAGGTCTTGCTTTGTGTCTCGTGTAGATTGTCTGAGAAACAAATGTACGATTGGTCTGAATATATTTCGCTAGAGGGCGCTTCAAAGTCGTCCGAATTCAAAATCTCAGTACTGTATTAGAAACATTTACGACGTGGTCTATATATTCAGACTAACGTTTTGATATAAAAGAGTCAAAAGTAGATTTAAAAATCATCTACGTTCGCGGCAACGCCATGTGTATGGATGATAATTTGAACGTCGTCAAAATACATGTATAACAAATATATACCCATATTAATACCAAAGTACAGTTTGTATAACTCATGTGGTTACAATGGCTTTATATCAGATATAATTATTATATAACTTAATATTTTAACCCTTTTGTTTAGATGTATAACATTAAACTGTTAAATGGCATAATGATCTGTATACATATATTATTAAGTGAAAGTAAGTGTACAAATTATCGTCGTTCTTTCGAAATGTGTGAT